CTATACTATATGCTACTACTATATACTACTACTATACTATATGCTACTACTATATACTACTACTATACTATATGCTACTACTATATGCTACTACTACTATATGCTACTACTACTACATGCTACTACTATATGCTACTATACTATATAATACTACCATATGCTACTACTACTATATGCTACTACTACTATATGCTATTACTATATGCTACTATACTATATAATACTACTATATACTACTACTATATACTACTACTATATACTACAACTATGTACTACTATACTATATGCTACTACTATATACTAGTACAATATACTACTACTATACACTACCACTATATACTACTACTATAGGCTACTCCTATATACTACTATACTATATAATACTACTATATATTAGCTATACAGTACTATAGATGTAGCCAAATAGGATATGTGCTATTTTATATTTATAGATATATCTGCTTGGATATATCTGAGCAGATCTTTGATCACAGATCATCAGCTATCATACTAAGGAATATACTCGTGCTTACCATATGATGTATGCCAGCTTTATATGCATAAAGGCTCTAACTATATACCAAGTTTCATCTATATAGTGTTTACATCTACATACCAAACTTACTCTCTCTCTAGTTATTAGAGCTCTCTCTACATACATACATACATACATACATACATACATACATACATACATACAAGAGTTAATTTTCGATGCTCTTCAGGCGTTTTAAGATGCTCCAGAAACTAGAAGAAGCTCTACTTTTATGCTTGAAACTAATATACCTCTTTCTAGAACATCTTTAAGGGGTACAATTAGAAACTGGCTAGCACACACACTCACACAAACACACATATATATATGAAACACACCTGAGAGCTAAACATTTGTGCAGGTGCGGTTCTACCTTTTTGTCTTAAAAATTTATGACACACACACACTCACACACACACAGAGACACTTACACTTAGACACAATACACAGATAGAGATTATATCGCTGTAGCAATCGAAGAGCAACGAAAATGTTTAGTTTTTAGCGCATTTGGTCATGGAAAAAGTGGCTGCTTCAAAATGCATTCCAAATATCTCGACTATAATCAAGTCGAAGCGAAAGACTGAGGCAACGAACTTGACAAAAGACTTGGACAACGAACTAGCGGGCAAGGCAACAACAACAACAACAATAACAATGACAACTCAACCAGCTACACCCAAGCACACACTTTATTAAGTCAACAGCTTGAGAGAGACAGAGAAAGAGATAGAGAGAGCGAGAGGCATTTGTAAGTCGAGTGAGAGTAGAGGAGAGTAGGCTCATCTGATGCCCCACTGAAAACCTTGAACTGGGCAGCAAGTCAAGGGTCAGAGTTGACTTAATCGCAGTTCAACGTGTTCAGCGTGCCCTCTAAATGACTTGGAGCATCAGGTAACACGCCCATTTGCCTGCTGCAGCTGGAACCGGGAGCGGTGAACTGTGAACTGGTGCATTTGATTTGAAAGCAAGAAATTTTAGCAATTCGAGCTTTATTTAAGCAATGGAATATTCTATATATAGATTAGAATATTTGAATCTTTGTTCATTGAACTAGTTCGAAGCGAGTCAGTTCTGTTTTCACTCGTCACATGATGATATTCTGTGTCTGCTGTTTATATTCAATTGTTGTAATATCGGAACCAGTTCATTAAAGTGCAAATGAACTAGCTCAGTAAGGAGCTATCTTATATTTGGGTGTGAACATGTGTGGCATATAAGTATATATGCATTGGGCATAGTTCATAAGTGAACTTGTTCATAATCTAGTTCAAATGAGCTAGTCTTAAGCCCAAGTGCCATAGCATCCGCTTTAATAATGCGATTTTGTTGTATTATTTATCATTTTCTTCAATTTGTGTACAACTTGTGTTTTCATTATTCATTTTTATGAAATATAAAATTGTTGTTTTCATTATTCGTTTCTATTTTTTATTCACACTCAATTGGCAAATGTTGCGCAGCTGCTGCTCATTGATTACACATGAGAACTTACATTAAATGTTTAATTGTTGTTGTTGTTGTAGTAGCTGTTGTTGTTGTTCTTGTTGTTGCCACAGCATAGACAACGACAACGACAACAACAACAACAACAACAACAGCGACAGCGACGTCTTAGCATTGGAATGCGGTCGAACTCGCCTCGGTTGCCAAGCCAACAGCATTTTGTTATTTGCCCAGCCAGACCGAGTGCTAGAGAGAGAGAGAGAGAGTGTGTGTGTGTGTGTGTGTGAGCTAGCTTGAATTGACTCACTGACTGACTGAGTGACGAACTGGTTGAATGAATGCATGAATGAGTGGCAGCTGCGCCAGCGAACAAGAAAACCAAAAAGTACTTGGACTTGCGATGCTTATAAACGAGTCGTCTATACTATCCTCAACCGCTGGCGCTCCCCCCCCCCCCCTCCTTCTCCTCGCGCTCCCTTATACATGCGTAAACACTTGTTTAGCCATTTAGCACGAATTGGTTGGCCAAAAGCCGAATGAGAAAAGCCAAAAACCAAATCCCAAAAGCCAAATTCAGTGCGCGCATGCATTACAACAACAACAACAACAACCAGCGACAGCAACAACATTTTATACCATATTTATGCTAAAGCCTTTTGCCACTAAACAGGTGAAAGTTTGCCTCACCAAATGTTAATCGAGCAACGAACTGCTTAAAATTCTTGACCAGCATATTTTTTTTTTTTTTTATTTTTTTCTGTTGTATTATTTATGATTTTTTGCTCTAAACCATTTCGAATGCTCGCGCACAAAGTGCAGAAAGAGGGTATATTGGTATATTTCAAATGCATATCTGATGAGCAGAAGCAAATGTCAAGCAACGCCAATTGGGGGCGTGGCGAATGGGAAATACAGTAAATGTAATTCAGAATATTTCATACTTTACAATAGATCTTATATGATATTTCAAGTGCCTCAATTCTGCAATCAAATTGAGCGAGCGGGCATTACGCAGTCGTTGAAGCCCGTCCGCAACGCGCTTCATTTGTTTTATTCAATTTTCATCGCGAAATTCGGGTCAAATTCTAAACGGAAGGTGAAAGCGAATTCTAAAAGTTTACGAATCTGAAATCTCCGTTGAAAGCTAGCTATACAAATGGCCTCAGACAAATGGATATGGATAAAGATTTAGATGTAGATGAATCATAATCTTGGCATGTTGTTCAGAATTACCGCTAGAGTGAAACACATTCCCGATAGTCAGTTGCATAAGCAGAGATCAGGCGAGATTCCAAATATGAGAACCTTGAACTGGCCAAAAGTCAAGGATCAGAGATTACTTTTATGGTCGGAACTGTGAACTGGAACTGTGAACAAATTTGTAGAGCTCTAAATGTTTTCTGAAATTATCTAGCTATTTATATAGCTGTAATATAAAAGGTCTCTCAGATATACCTTTCCCTTCATTTCTGATTCCTAGCATATTTATCTCTATAATTTCTATCATTATTTTATATATGTATATCCCATTCCCATTCGACTAAACTTTTGTTTTGAGCAAATGCCTTTAAAAAATTTATGATTTTCGTCGTTGCATTCGATTGCATTTTAAAGCAAAAACAAAAGAGGGGGGAAAATGGAAATTGAAATGAAAATGAGTATAAGAAAACCCAAAGGCAGAAAGAAAGAAAGAAATCAAAAACTACTTTCATTCAATGGGGCCTTTGGAGCGCAGCCTCAACTCAACTAAACGTTGACAACTTTGTCGCCTGTGCAACAGTGTGTGTGAATAGTATACACACACACACTCGCTCACATCTCTCGAATGACAATGACAAGTGATTGTCGAGGTGGCTGATGGAGATGAGGGAGGAAGGAGGGGAGAGGGGTTACCAGCTCTCTGATAAGGCATTTTAAATAGAGAGGTGAAATAATTACGTGAATTTTTTGTCACTTTTTTTTTCATCTGTTTGCTGTTGCTTGTGGTGTGTGAAATGTTTTTTAATCAAATGTTTTTCTTGTTTTCTACTTTTACAGCAATGCATCAGCCCGCGGCTTGAAGACTTTGCCAGCTCCCGTTTTTCCCTCCCGCAGCAGAGTCGAAGGAGACGAAGCTGAAGCCGAAAAGAGAAGCAAAAACACCTGATATTAATAATTGGCGAGTAATTGGCTTGGAAAAGGCAGCGGCTGCACGATCATCGGCTGATCGCGTGTATATATAGCGAGAGATATATAGCGCTTCGATCCAAAGCTGATTGAGCCATGGACTGGGCCGAGGGGGATCTGGTGTGGTTCGACCCGGGCGTCGGACACCCGATACCGGGCGAGATTCAGGAAGTGCATCGCGCCGCCCAGGTGATCGTCGTTCAGGCCATGATCAAGGGCAAGGTGAGTAGACGTTCGATGCATGTGGAGTGCGCTTGCGAGATGTTAAGCTTGAAGTCTGCAAATAAAATGGAGGCCAAATCGATTAATGCCATAGTATTACTTTGATTTCTCCATTACCTATTTTTGCTCTATCTCTCAGAGAGAGAGAGAAACTCTTTCTCTTAGTAGTAAATATGGATATCGAAGACCTAAGTTCATATGGCTATAATAATCTAGTTATTTCTTTCATTAAGCTGCTGTTCTAGCAGTCGCTGTTGATCGATAGTTATCGATTAATGAAATTTGATGTATAATAGCATCAATATTTCATTGTTTATATTTGATTTGTTTATTGAGAGTATATTAGTCTTTTTCCTTATAGAATTTCCTATCTTAGATCCTATCTTTAGATATCGATCTTTGAAAATAGATTTTTATGTAGATTTAATGCCAATCTTCTCACTTAGCTCGTTTCCTACCTCCGTATCTCATGCTCTCTGCTTCAATATTTACTTCCTTCATAAACGATACTTATCGATAGATTCTATTCATAACATATTTCAGCAGGAAGAAATGTCTCCAATTTCCTGGTTCCTTTGCCCAAAAAGTTGCCTTAATGTAGCGCTCTACAGGGCATCTGCCAGTCGAGCACTCGTCCACTTACTCAAGGGCACTCTACGCCAGTTTTATGACTGCTTTTCTCTATTTTCACCTGTCAGCGCGTTGAAAAATATCACATGAAATTCGCTTGTGGCAGCACGTGGAATTCGTGGCTAGACAAATGCTCTTTTGGCCATTGGGAACTCTGGGGCGCTGGCCAAAGTGCCCAGTTGCCAATTTGTTGGTCGCCAAACGGAAGTGTGTGTATGCGATTCTCAGCTCAACGCTCTGCGTCTTACCAACTCTCTTTGTCTCTCTTACTCTAATTGCTTAGCAGCAACTGACTGCCGGCAGCGACTGCCGGCTTCGTTTCCTTTTTCCTTTGCAATTAGCTCCGACTGTCCGAGCGGAGAGTCGAGCGTCTGTCAGCCGGAGGCTGCAACTGATGCTGGCGCAACTGAGGCTGCGACTGATGCTGCGACTGAGGCTAATAGCTGCAACAGTTACCGATGCCGTTGCAGTCGCTGTCGGAGTTGCAGTTGCTGCTGGCAGCCGAGAGCTCACGACTAAGAACTCGCAATCTAACAGGTCGGGTATACGCATTTGCACAATACTCATTATCTATTAAAGATTCAGTTCAGTAGACTTTGTTCTTCCTTACCTTACCTTCCTAGCTCTACTCTCCATTCTACTCTCGATTTGGTCAGCCCGAAAACCAAAATAGATCGATAAATATCGATTGCTGGCTCATCATGAATTAGTTGGGTCAATATACCGCGTTTCTCTTAAGATAAACGTGCGTGCCCAAACTGGCTCGCATACTTCAGTTTGTCACACACGCACACACACACACACATACACACAGCATTCAGCGTATATCCTGTTCGAAGCCAGACAACAACTTGTTAGGCCCGAAGAAAAAGAAACGACAGAAGCATTTCAGCTAAGATTGCAGCAACAGCAAATTAGCCCCTGCTCGAGCGAGAACTGGCAATTACCTAGCTGAGCTCTGAAAGCGCCTCAAAGCCCAAATAGAGCAATCGAGTGAGCTTAGCTCAGAGGTAAGTCTCGAAATATCTACGAGGAACTGCACGATTGACGAGCTTCAAGTCTGTTGTGGCAAATGATTCTATTTCTAAATGAAAATCGATTATTGCCTGTTAAAATCTTAAGGGAGATCATTCGATATCTATTTAAACATATTGATATATGGCTAAAGTAACGTAGAGTATTTATCTGGCATATTGATGCTCCTTACATAAACAGCCTATAGACAATGGGTATCTATAATCTGATAAGAGATTAGATTTATTAGATCTCATCTAGATGACGAGTTAAGTCATTTGTCATTCTTTGGTTATATGAGGTGTTTCTTCAATAACGTGTTTAATTGGCTAAGCTGCTAGCTTTATCGATAACAATTATCGAAATGCTGCACACGCTGCATGCTGCACGCTGCAGTGCGTGTGTGCGACAAAGAATTAAAGAGTTCAACTGGTTCTGCCTTGGCTCTTGGAGAAAGTGAGAGAAGGAGATGGAAAGAGAGAGAGAGAGGGAGAGAGAGAGAGAGAGGCAGGCTGGAGTGGGGCTTAGGTAGAGAGAGAGTTCTTCTCTTAATGGAATTGAGATCAAAGCTAACGACATGCGACAGGTTTTTCGCCTGTTCCGTTGTTCTCTCTCCAAATGTGGCTGCCAGTTGGTCAGGAGGCGTCGCATCTTTCGAAATAGAAAACACTAAAAAAAAAAGCAAAACTTGTTTCAATTGATTGGCTTTCAGAAAAAGCAAACGAATAAAAACACCGTTTAGGCATGGGCAGCCGGAGCGGAGGCGGGGCGAGGCGCTTTGTTTGGGGGGGAAAAACTGTAGCGAAGTCTCGACGCTTGGCTCTTGATTCCTTTCAGTTGCATTCGAGACGGCGGCCAACGACGTATCTTTTTCCTATTGTTGTTGTTGTTGTTGTTCTCGGTTCTCGGTTCTCGGTTATCAGTTAACAGTTCTAGCTATTCGATAGTCGATAGTCGATATTCGATAGATGCGCATCGTACGCTTCCACCTGGAGCCATGGCAACGCGGCAGCGGCTGCGGCTCCGTGACCCCCAGTCCGGCTCAGTCGCCATCGCTGGCCTTGCTCTCGCCTCACGTGCTGCGACGCCAGCGTCCAGCCAGCCTCGAGGATCTGGATGAGCTGTTCGCCCAGCAATCGCCGCTGCAGCAGCAACAGTTGCTGCTGCGCCGACAGCATCGCCTCAAGTGCCGCTACCCGCAGGTGGTGAAGCGCCTCTCCACACTCTGCAGCGACGTGATGGCCCGCCATGTGAGCGCTCAAGTCCAAACTCTAAAATCCGCATCTAATTCCCCTCCGCCAACCAAAATCCAATTAGGCCCGGCGACTCTTCTGGCTCCCATGCATTTTAGCTAAACTTCTTAGCCTCAACAGCAGCCTGACAAATTCCATTGGCGGCTCTTGCTTCGCCACGCTCATCAGCTTATAAATTAATGCTGCTCCATGCGGCAGACGAGTCATCAATGGGGATTTTCATAATGCACATCAAGAGATATCAAAAGATGTGAAAGAAACTAGAAATGCAATGAAATTCCCATGAAGATAACTTGTCCAACTCTCGAGAGGAGCATCGTAAAGCAAAGGAATCAATCTTCTATCGGAAGTCGCCTACCAAGAGTCCTTCCTCTTCCAATGTCCGCTTCTGAGAGCAAATACCCTAACGATGTCCTGCCCAATCTCAGATCTCTCCCAAGCTCACATAGTCTTAGATCTCTCCAAGACTCTTCTCTCCTCAATATTCTCCGACTTTCGACAGCTTAACATCCTGATAATTCGCATTCCCTAGATATAATTTAAGTGTGGCCTCAACTAATTGAAAATTCCGTTCACGCACAGGCACAAACGTTCGCACTGCAGCCAGGCGAGGGCAGCCTGCGCGCCCGCCAGGACCTGGGCAGCAGCGGCGTGGAGGACATGACGATGCTGGACGACCTGCACGAGGCGTCGCTGCTCTGGAATCTGCGACTGCGCTACGACAAGGGACTGATCTACACGTTCGCCGGCAGCATACTCATTGCGGTCAATCCGTACAAAATGTTCCCCGATGCCTACGGCCTGGAGGTGGCCAAGCAGTACGCCGGACGGCCGCTGGGCGCCCTGCCGCCGCATCTGTTCGCGATCGGCGCCGCAGCGCATGCAGCGCTGCCCTCGCCCCAGGTGGTGGTCATCTCCGGCGAGTCCGGGTCGGGCAAGACGGAGTCCACGAAGCTGGTGATGCAGTACCTGGCCGCCGTGGTGCCCGGCGGAGGCAGCGCCTCGGCTGTCATCACAGAGCAAATCCTGGAGGCCGCGCCCCTGCTGGAGGCCTTCGGCAACGCGCGCACCGCTCGCAACGACAACAGCTCCAGGTTCGGCAAGTACCTCGAGGTGTACTTCAAGAGCGGCGCCATCGTGGGCGCCAAGATAACGCAGTACTTGCTGGAGAAGTCGCGCATCGTGACCCAGGCGCCTGGGGAGCGCAACTACCACGTCTTCTACGAGATGCTGGGCGGGCTGAGCGAGGCGGAGCGCGCCAAGTACGGGCTGCTCGAGGCGGACAAGTACTTCTATCTGAACCAGGGCGCGACGGACTGCGCCAGCGGCCGCGTCGACTGGGCCTCGCTGCTCAGCGCGATGCAGGTGCTCGGCGTCACCGAGGGCGAGCGCGAGAGCATTGTGCGGGTGCTGGCTGCGGTGCTCCACCTGGGCAACGTCTACTTCCACCGCCGGCAGCTGCGGCACGGCCAGGAGGGCGTGGAGATCGGCTCCGACGCCGAGATCAAGTGGGCCGCCCACCTGCTCCACATCAGCGCCGAGGGCATGCACCGTGCGCTGACGAGCCGCACCACCGAGGCGCGGGCCGAGCGTCTGCACACGCCGCTGGGCATCGACCAGGCCCTGGACGCCAGAGACGCGTTCGCCAAGGCCCTCTACGCCGGCCTCTTCAACTGGCTGGTGTCGCGCATCAACTCGATCGTGCAGAAGGGCGGCACCCACGACGCCCACCGCATCAGCATCCTGGACATCTTCGGGTTCGAGGACCTCGCCGAGAACAGCTTCGAGCAGCTGTGCATCAACTACGCCAACGAGAACCTCCAGCTGTACTTCAACAAGCACGTCTTCAAGCTCGAGCAGGCCGAGTACGCCCGGGAGCGCCTGGAGTGGACGCCGCTCGCCTGGGACGACAACCTGCCGGTGATACATCTGCTGGCCAAGAAGCCGGTCGGCATCTGCCACCTGCTCGACGACGAGTCGAATTTTCCGCGTGCCACCGACCTGAGCTTCCTCGAGAAATGCCATTACAACCACGCGCTGAGCGAGCTGTACGCGCGCCCCCGGATCGGCGCCCAGGAGTTCGGCATCACCCACTACGCCGGCCAGGTGTGGTACTGCGTGGACGGATTCCTGGACAAGAACCGCGACGCGCTGCGCAGCGATGTGCTCGAGCTGCTGGCCACCAGCCGGCTGCCCCTGGTCAGCGAGCTGACCAAGCAGCTGCGCGCCCAGCGCGACGCCGGCAAGACCCTGCCCAAGGGCAGCAACGGACGCTTCGTCACCATGAAGCCGCGCACGCCCACTGTGGCCGCCCGGTTCGCAGACTCGCTGCAGCAGCTGCTGCAGTCGATGGGCCGCTGCCATCCCTGGTTCGTGCGCTGCATCAAGCCCAACCAGGAGAAGCAGCCGCTGCGCATGGACATGCCCTGCGTGCTGCAGCAGCTGCGCTACCTCGGCATGCTCGACACCATCCAGATACGGCAGCGCGGCTACCCGGTGCGCCTGCGCTTCCAGCACTTTGTCGAGCGCTACCGGCACCTGCTCGGCACGCCCCTGGCCAGGGGCACGCCCTACCGCGAGCTCTGCCGCATGCTGCTGGAGTCCATGCCGCGCACCGGCGTGGAGGGGCCCGACTACCAGCTCGGCGCCACGCGCGTCTTCCTGCGCGAGGCGCTGCACCGCTCACTGGAGAGCGGCCGCACCGAGCGCCTGCGCCAGGCGGCGGTCCACATCCAGCGGCACGTGCGCGGCATGCTGGTGCGCCGGCAGCTGGCGCGACGCCAGGCGGCTGCCACGCGGCTGCAGGCGCGCTGGCGCGGGCAGCGGCAGCAGCAGCGCTACGAGCGACTGCGTCACGGCGCGCTCACCGCGCAGCGCCTGTGGCGCGGCAAGCAGGCGCGGCGGCGCGTCCAGCAGCTGCGCTCCGACCATCGGCGCCGGCAGGAGGCGCGCGAGGCGGCGCAGCGGGCGCGCGAGGCCCGCGAGGCCAAGCAGGCGAACCTGGAGCGCAGCCAGCTGAGCTACCTGGACATACCCGCCGAGCTGGCCTTCATCTACTCGAAGCTGCAGGGCTGGACGCCGCCGCACAGCGACCGGCACCTGGTCAAGGTGCTGGGCACGGTGCCTGGCCCGCCGCCGGCCAGCGCACAGCTGCCCTCGGACCTGGCCCAGTTCAGCTTTGGCAAGTTCAGCAGCGTCTACTGCAACGGACTGCGGCTGCAGCCGCGCAGGGAGCCCATAACGGCGCCGCTGTTGACGCGCGCCGCATCGCGGGACCAGGACTTCCAGGACGCGCTGGCCGTCTTCAAGCTCATCCTGCGCTGGAGCAGCGACAAGGCGCTGGAGGGCGAGGGCGCCAAGGAGAAGCTGCTCTCGGACTACATCGTCCACAAGGCGCTCAGCTCGCGCGGCCTGCGCGACGAGATCCTCGTCCAGCTCTGCAACCAGCTGCACGGCGCCGAGTCCGCCCAGTCGGCGCGCCTCTGGCAGCTGCTGGGCCAGTGCTTGTGCTGCTTCCAGCCGAGCCCGGCGTTCAGCAAGTACCTGCTCAAGTTCGTCACGGACGAGGCGCCGGCCAGCGACCGCCAGATGCTGCAGCGGCAGCTGCTGCGCCAGCAGAGCAGCCCGTCGGGCGCGGCGGCCTGCCGCAGCTTCGTGCCCGCCTGGCTGGAGTGGCGCGCCCTGTCGCGCGGCTGCGACATGGCGCTGCCCCTGACCCTGCCCGACGAGGCCACCCAGACGGTGGCCGTCGACTCCTGGACCAGCTGCGAGGAGGCCGCCGCCCTGGCTGTGTCCACCCTGGGTGTGGCCAGCCGCGGCTGGACCCTGGTCCTCGACGACGGCCAGCAGCTGACGGACAGCTGCGGCCTGGACTATGTCATGGATCTGATTGCCGAGAAGGAGCTGTGCCCCGCCTTTCCGGCCCCGCGCAGCGACTTGCTGCGCTCCGGCGCAAAGTTCGCGCGCACCTCGCTGCCGGAGGCCGTGAAGCGGCCCGGCGTGCCGCCACCCGCACCACCCACCACGGCGGCCAAGCGGGAGCAGCAGAGGGAGCAGGAGGAGCCCGCCCAGCCGCAGCGGCGCAGCAGCCGGGAGCTGCTCTCGCGCAGCTCGGCCCTGAACGAGCGCTACTTCGAGCGCACTGAGGAGCCCATTACGCCGCATCTGCTGCCGGGCGCCCAGTCCAAGTCGCGCTCCAAGTCCCTGGATGATCTGCTGGCCTCCGACATGGGCAGCCAGCAGCTGCCGCTGCCCGACAGCGACTCGCAGGAGTCGCCACTGCACACCCTGGCGCTGGGCCTCTCCGAGAGCCGCCTCAACGATCGCTACCACTCGGCCGAGCGCCTGGCCCCCATGGGCAAGGAGTCGGCGCCGCGCTATCAGAAGTCCCAGCACGCCGGACGCCGCTCGCACGCCGCCTCCCATGGCTCCGCCCACTCCAGCAAGTACAACATGGACAAGTCGGAGTACGCGACGCGCTCCTCGGCCATGTCGGACACCAGTGAGGCGCCCTCGCTGGCCTCCCACGTGCGGCGCGTGCGCGTGCCCTCGCAGGCCTCCGATGTGGATCAGTTCCTGGACGACCTGTTCAGTCCGGTGCTCGACGGCTCTCTGGACGAGCTGTCCGACGCGCGCTCCCTGGCCGCCAGCATACGTGGCAGTCGCCGTGCTGAGGAGCAGCCGGCGGGCGGTAGGAAGACGGACCAAGAGAGTCAAGCTGATCTGGAGGAGTTCATAGACGAGCTGCTGCTGCTGAATAGCTCGGAGGAGCTGTCGGAAATCAAGCACGATCAGGCAGAACTGGAGGAGTTTATCGATGAGCTGCTGCTCTTGAACAAGTCACAGGATGTGGCGAAGGACAAGGAAGTCGGGCAGCACTCTGCCGATCTGGAAGGCTTTATGGACCTCAGCCTGGACAATGGCTTGGACACACTCGCCTCGCAGCACCAGCTGGTGGCATGCATCAAGGGAGGCGGCAGGCGGCATGAGAATCTATCTGCCGAGCAGGACTCCGCCGATCTGGCGGACTTCCTGGACCTCTCTCTCGATGAGTCCCTGGACGCACTCGCTTCCCGGGCGCAGCTGGTGGCCAGCATCAAGGGCGGCGGCAGCACCGAGCACAGCCAAGCAGGAGCCGCAGATCCACTGATCCACCAGCTGATGCAGCTGCCTGGCGGTGAGCCAGACGCCGTGCCCGCCGCCTCGCTCTACCAGCAGCAGGTGCAGCGCGCCTTCCTCCAGTCCGCCATGGCGCAGAACCTGCAGATACAGCAGCAGCTGCTCGCCCAGAACCAGGCGCTGCAGACGCTGCTCAGCCAGCAGGCGGCGAACGCCACGACCAGCGCGACTGCCAATCCCAATGCGAGCGTCAGCAACGGCACTGGCGGCGGATCGCCGCCCGCAGCGCCCATATCGCCGCCGCCGCCTCTGCGGCTGAAGACAACGACGCTGCTGACGAGCACCAGGTCGAGCAGCCTGGTCATGGAGGCGACGGCTGGCATGCAGCCGCCGGCGCCGCCGCCGCCACCACCGATGCCGCCACCACTGGAGGGCAAGGATCCGTCGGAGACGCGCCACTTCCTGGACCCGTACGGCCGGGCGAAGACTGTGCGCATTGGCAAGTGGCGCTGGCCGCCGCCGCAGGGCGAGCCGCAGTTCCAGACCGAGGAGGACTTTTTCGCCTTCAAGCTGCGCCAGCAGCAGCGCAAGACCACGCCCCAGGCGCAGCAGCACACGGCCATCGAGTGGGAGGAGTTCGAGATCGAGTCTAGCAAGAGCCCAACGCCGCAGCTGATGCGCAGCAGCATTCGACTGGAGAGCAATGGGCGAGATGTCCAGGATGCTGTGCAGCACCAGCACCAGCACCAGCAGCATCAGCAAATGCAAGTGAATCAAACCACAGCGGCTATCACCACCACAACCACGATTACAGCCACGAAGCTGGCGAAGAAGAGCTTTGAGATTGGGGCCGACCGGCCGCCGCCGGGCAGCGTGGGCAAGCTGAAGCTCAGCTCGGAGATGCGCCAGCGCCTGGAGCAGGTGACCGCGGGCCATTCGGTGCGCTCGACCGTCTCGAACAAGTCGGACCAGCGGGCGCCGGCCAAGCTGGAGGACACGCGCAAGCTGATGCTGCAGCAGCAGCTGGGCGGACTCTTCGCTGGCGCCAATGCGAGCTCCAGCTCCAGCGAGGCCCTGCCCACGGTGCGCACCCAAATCGAGCGCATGGAGGGCAAGCTGTCGCCGCCCCCGATGCCCGTGCCAGCGCCGCCCAGTGCCTGGCCGGGCGTGCTGCTGCCGCCGGCACCGAACGTGCCTGCACCACCGCCGCCCATAAGGCCGCCCAGCATGGCGCCGCCGGCGCCGCCGCCAGCGCCGCAGAGTCCGCCCGTGGAGCTGAGCGAGCCCGAGCCCGACTACCGCAAGGAGCACGTGCCGGCATTCATACAGCGGCAGGAGCGCGACACGTTCGGCGCCGTCAGGCAGCCCATGCAGCTGCACCAGCAGCAGCAGCAGATGCAGCAGCAGCAACAGATGCACCAGCAGCAGCACCACCACCAGCAGCAGCAACAGCAGCAGCTGTCGTCGTCGTCGCACGCTGTCTGGGAGCAGGAGCTGCAGAGCGAGCGGGAGCGCTCCCGCAGTCGCAGTCGGTCGAGGGACCGCGAGGACTACTCCGAGTCCGTGTGGGATCGTGCCGAGGTGGAGGGCCCCGCCTCGGGCAGCGGCAGCGAAAAGGAGCGCGAGAAGCGGGACCGGGAGCGCGAACGGCTCTACGAGCTGCGGCAGGTGGAGCGCGAGAAGGAGAGCCACAAGGTCTATCAGCCGGCGCCGCCAAGAGTGATTCAAGCCAGCATGGACAACACGGGCGCCAAGCTCAGAGAGAGGGAGAGGGAGAGAGAGAGGGAGCGAGAGAGAGAGCGCGAGAGGGAGCGAGAGAGGGAGCGCGAGAGAGAGAGGGAGTCGCTTGCCTCAACGCCCGCTACATTCCGGACGCACATGGCCCAGAAATACGAGCACGAGCGCAAGCGCAAGAGCTCCGCCAGCTCGGCGCGCGAAGAGTCCATCGACTCCAGCCTGCCGGCCGTGGTGGTGCCCGCCCCAGTGCCACCGCCGCCAGCCGCCGTGACGCCGGCGGCCAGCCCGTCGAGTAGCACGGTCAGCGCCTGCCTCACCTACAACCGGGTGCCATGGAAGCTGCGCGTGCGCAAGGAGGTCTTCCAGCCGCACGAGCCCATCGGGCCGCCGGTCGCCCTGGACCTGCTGTTCGCTCAGGTGCTGAGCGACGTGTTCGGCGTCACGCCCTGCCTGCGCATCACGCCCCAGGAGAAGAACGCCGCCCTCAATATGCTGCACGGGCACGGCGTGAGCGTGGACACGCTGGCGGCGCGCGGGCAGCAGGTGCGCGCCCTGGTCAAGCGCCATCTCGTGGACATGGCCCGCGACTGGCCCCTCTACTTCGCTAGACTCTTTGCGGTCCAGGGCGCGCCGCTCTACCCGGATGTCTCCATCATGGGCGTCTCGCACAGCGGCCTCTATCTGGCCAGGCGCGACGCCGACTACCTGATTGTCGTCCAGGCTATATCCTTTGCCGAAATACAGAACGCTGTCACCCTGCCACGCCCAGCCGCCCTGCAGCTCAACCTGCGCAACGGCAAGCACCTGGCGCTGCACGCGACTCGGGCTGCGGCCATCCAGACGATGATCACATCCTTTGTGCAGGAGTTCCGAAAGGTGAGTCACAAGTCCGCTTACCTAATGGAGATCTATTGGTATGGGGTATATTGGCTATGTTCCTTTTTGCTGTAACAGCAGAGCAAGATGAGTTCATCTTGAGCTTGAACTGGAGGCTGCTGGAACGAAAGAGTGAACTAGTTCATGGGCTGGGATAGAACAGCATGAATCGCTGCTGAGCTAAAGAAAAAGAACTAGTGAACTAGTGAATCATCTGCTGTGTCTATAGGGTATCTGCTAGTCGTGTGAAGTCAGTTCTGTTATAAGCTCTGCACCGTTAGCTGCCATTGGGGCTGGGCGCAGCTTCAAGCTTTGCTTGAGTTTGAGCGAAAGCGAGCGCAAAAGCTCGAAGCTGTCTGATTGAGAGTTGCCTGGGAAAAGACTTTCTGTAATCGAGATTGTATATTATTGGATGAAGAGAGTTGATCTCTGAGAGAACTTTGGGCCGTCTTAGCATTCCGAAACTTTAGCTTTTTGCCTCAGCTTCTCTTGTCTTGTTCCCAGCTGAGCTTTAATATTGTTGTAAGCTTTAAGATTCTATCTCATCTTTATCTCTTCTGCTCTTCTTTCTTCTTCTTCTTCGCTTATTTTGCTCTAATATAGATTTTACCTATGCCCATTCTTTCTAATCATATCCCATATCTGGTATTGCATACATCTGCTCTATTTATAGAGTATACTTTACATTCATATATACATATAGTAAACCTAGCTATTTTCTCCTCTCATATCGCACCTTTCCAGAGACCTTTTTGGGGCGACCTTCATATTGCTCTATATTCATACATACATATGTATACGCATATTCATATATATATGTACAATATTTGTAATTTCTCTTTACGTCTCTCTGCCACTCCCTCCCGCCCCTCACACTCCTACTTTTTTGTTGCTTCTGCTCTTTCTTCTTCTTCTTCTTCTTCTTCTGCTTTTGGCCTTCTCAACTGTTTGGCTTAGCGCATTTTTACACGCGTGCTTGAAGCTCAGTGGGTCTGCTGCGTCCGACCCTCTGTCCGTCAGGGTGACCATATACGTTGACAGACCGTCTCAATACTCGTTCGCACTCGCATTTCACATTGCAGATTCGCATTCGCATTCGTTTATCAGTAGATCAATCAATCTTAGTCTCTCCCTCTCTCTCTCTCTCTTTCTCTCTGTTTTTCAGTGCCAGTGTGACCGTATATGCGCTATAATCTTTGACTTACTGCCTGATATACTCGTTCACACTTATCACATTCGCAGTCATCAATCACAGTTTGTCAGTCTCTCCCCTCTCTCTCACTCTCGCTCTCTCTCACTCTTTTTAGTGTGACCATATACGCTCTGACTAAGTGCCTCAATGCTCGTTCACATTTCACTCATACGCATTCAATTCGCTTTTTCTGCTTTTCTTTGAATGCAGCTCGCCTTAAGTTATTTTAATTTAATTCAGTTTTATGCGTGAAAACTAGTCGAACGCCAAACTTGGTGCTAGCTCCAAAACCTGCTCAAGACTGTTACTGGCCGAATAAAAAACAGTTAGCCACACACACACACACACACACACACACACACCACGTACACCTTTAGCTGTTGCACTACTCGTTTTGAGCATTTGCTCTCTCTCTCTCTCTCTCTCTTTCTCTTTTGGAGTTTTTACGCTCCGCTTGGCCCTGCTGCACTTTTCACTCTCTCTCTCTTGGGTACTCACTCTCCCTCTCTCTCTCTCTCTTTCGCTCTCTTCTTTCTGACTGACTGTATTGGTCAAGTCGGTCTTTTGACCAGTTTCTGCCCAGTTTTCAGTTGCGTTCGTTAACGGCATCACGCGGCGCGCTTCTTGAAGCAAAAAACGAAAGAAAGAAAACAAGAAAAATACGTTCGTCGATATTCGAATTCTTCAGATTCATAAAGATTTATTTGCTGTTATCTTTTTTTTTTTCTGTTGGCCAAGTTTTTGTTTTGAGTGTCTTATATCGTGTCTTAGCCGTTCTGTGCCTGACCCCATAAAGAAAACGGTTCGATGCCTGAGCCTAAAAGATTTGACACCGACACCCGAATGACAATTCAGAGATATATATGCATATACAAGATCTGATATAAATATATAGTGAACTCTTATATATACATATATAGAGCTAAGTTTTGTTGTCAGTGCCTATAAATGGAGTATTATTTATATTCAATGTGAATCTGCCGAGGCGATTGCAATTTTGAATCTATATTTGTATATAAATATGTTTTCATATACTTTTTTTTTTGTTGATAACTATAAACTATGGAGGATCAGCCAGCTGTAGTTGGATCACATCTGACTAAGCTCTTTAGATCGATCTATAGATTATATAATTATATAAAGCAACGATCAACAATGTTTACAAAGCGAATCCTTATTGACCTTTGGCAGGTGTTAGCTCAAAGAAATTCCCTTGTCTGAGAATTACGTCCAACAGGATTCACAAGCGGATCATTCTTAAACTTGTGTGTGAAGCTATATTGAGGGAAATTCATGTAATATTTTAATAGAGTTCAGAGAGAAAAGATGGATTTTCGTTTCTGGAGGCGCAGGATAGATGAAGATCGCTTTGTCAGAGATCAGCTCCCTGTGGGATATTATAAGCATGTGGATATACATATATCCATATACATATATGATATGCATTTATATATAGATAGCTCTATCAATAGTTTTTGTCAATTTTTGCCCCGTGACTCGTTTCGTCCGGTTGCCTTCAAGCAAGTTAGCCCCACTTGGGTCTGTCTCTCCATTGGCCGGCAGAGCTGCAAAATTTGCTGCTCTTTGTCGCAGGGAAGTCTATTGTCCGTCTTATTGTCACGTCTTCCGTATGGGCAGACTACATTTGACTGAGTTTAGCATCTGCACAAAGTCAACAAAATCAACTAAAACTTATCCAATATGCATAATACCCAAGCAAGCAATATGCATATCAATAACTGAACGAAATATCACACTATAAACAAAGTTTGTTTGAATTGCAATTCAAAGGAATTGGCAAACGCTTGAGCATGGCTGAGCATACCAGCCTAAGCATATATGATCAGATGTTATCTAACCTATCAATCTCTATAGATTGTTATATTTTGATTGCGCAGCTGCTTTTGACACAAACTGCGACAGAGCTCAGATTATTATAAATTCTGCATTCGAATCGATAATCGCATTTTCGCATTACCTCATTCGCCTTCAAATATCACTCCGAAGTTATTGAGGAAATTATTAATCAAGGCTGAAATTGAGTTGTCTAGAGAAGGCTGGCTACTTTATATCATTGAAGCTACTGAGAAAAGATGGTGTAAGGCAGTATTAAGGTTTCTCAGTTTGAAATTCACTTGTTATATCAACTTCAACTTGACTAGATACTAGAACTGAATTCCTTTAGTCTTTTAGAACTTAGAAGCTTAGAAAGTGAAAAGGATTAGGTATTTGTTAGTCGAGCATACCCACCTCAAGTATGCATCTTTAGTTACAGTTGGGACTATGCACACTAAAAATCAATTTGAAAATACCTTTCGAGTTTAGTTTCTCATATCTGTGCATCTTTCTCTCTCTCTCTCTCTCTCTTTCTCTGTCTCTCTCCCCTTCAGCAAGGTTCAGGGTATATTCTAGTAATTCTTCAATTTAGTCCTCTCTGAATATGCAAACTACGAATGTATTTGAATTTTATTCCTTTTGCTTGCCTTCTTCCCTTTCTCTCTAATTTTTTCTCCCACCTCAGTGATCTATAACATTCATATAACAGTTAGATAATCTGCATATGCATATATATCTCTTTATGTTCGCATCAGTGCGAACGAACTTGTTTGCCTGCTCAAGTTCAATGAACGGCTTGGAGCATCCTGTTGCGATTGCTGCAAGCGTTTTCGTTGTTGATTTTTCTGCTTTTGTGGCTCGAGCAAATTTTTGATGGCTTCTCGACAGGTGTCAGGTGGCAGCAAAAACGATAGATAGCCTGACAAAAGGCAAATTAAAAATCAAATTAAATTCAGGTCTGGCACGAAAATTGAAAAACTGCAAACAGAAAAAAGTGGCTAAGAAAAAATAGTGGCTAAAAGTGACTAAAAATCACGTATACGCAGCGTATTTACGCGAAAACAACACTGAGTGTTTCTCTCCCTCTCTCGCTCGCTCTCGTTGTGCGTGTGTAAACAATATAGCGAAACATTCATGATGATCGTGCAGTAGTTTGGCCAGTTAGTAGCTGTGCTCTATGGCTTAACAACTTTCACTGGCACGCGCCGCCGCCTCGGAATTTCGGACAAACGTAAAGCCAAACGAAAAGCGACAACAACAACAACAACAACAACAACAGCTCCACATTCATGCAACATGTCGCACAGCGTTCGAAGCAGCAAATCCTGTGATACGAGGACCCACGAATCCATCAGCAGCAGCCGCAACGGCAGCACCCACGGCAGCGGCAGCGGGGGCATTGTGGGCGGCAGTGTGCCGCACAAGTTCAGCAGCATTGTGAACAAAGTGGAGTCGCTGATACACAAAATGCACCACGACAAGGCCAACAATTTCAAGCTGCTGCAACAGCAGCAACAGCAGCAGCAGCAGCAGCAGCAGCAGGAGGTTGTGGTGCAGCAGGAGGTCGGCGAGGCGGAGAAATGCGCTTCACTGGACTCGCTCAACAATCTAACGGATCAGGATAGCTGCGAGGAGGAGCAGCCGGAGCTGCTCTACACGGACTCGGATGATGCCGAAATCGCACACATCACGGGCACCACAGCGGCTCAGGTGCACCACCAGCATCAGCAGCTGCAGCTGCATCGTCGCAGCGATCTCGATCAGCTGACCAACGAGAGCATTCGCGAGCTGAACGAGCAGTGCTGCCTGGAGATGGCCAACTCGAATGCGGCGGCGTTGGCTGCGGGGGGTGGTGTTGGTGGTGCTGCTGCGGGTGGCTTGGACTATGATAATGCGTGGAGCGTTGAGGAGGACATCGTGTACAAGTGCTGCAGTGGGGCAGCCTCATCGATCGACGCCAATGGCAGCTTGTGCGAGGAGTGCTGCTACGAGGAGCAGCTCAACTACAAGCTACGGCTTAACCAAAGAGACAACAATAACAACAACAACAACAATGGAGAGGCAGAGCAGGAGCAGCAGCAGCAGGAGCAGCAGCAGCAGCAGGAGATGGATGAGCAGCAACAGCAGCAGCAGCAGCAGGAGCAGGATCCAAATGATTCCACTGCAACGACATTAGCCAGCGCCATCAGCTTGCCCATTCCCATTCCCATTTCCATGCCCATGGTGGGCAATAAGACGCGACGCGTCAGCAACGCCAGCAGCGGCTCGGTCAGTCGCATGGAGACGATATTGGAGGAGCCAACGGAATCAAAGATATCGGTCAAGGAAATTCTGGCACGCTTCGAGACCATGAACTCCAATGAGGTAGGCAGAGGTCTTCGAACGACAAGGGGGTATGCTCTCTAGAGAGTCCATTGAGACTCGATGTAGCAGAGGCTGAAGATTGGTTCAAACGTAAAAGTCTTATACCATTACGAGCTGTAAGGAATAAGGACCTTAGGGTCTTTGTTGTAGAGGCAGCTGTGCTTCAGAGCCCAAAATATATGAAGGAGATCTTCTAAACTATTATAAATGCTAATATTATGGGATACTACATGATTAAGGCATTGACTAAATGAAGCTCTATATATGCCAGCCATGCCCTACGCCCCATATATATCTTTGTATATTCCGTTAATACTCCAAAAACATTCTCTACTAGTCACTTCTTCATATTGTCTCGAGCCTCAAGTCGCGTCTTAGACAGTTGTTTGGGAGTTGAAAATATTGCTTAAAGTCTCAGCTGATTTCATGAGGTCTAGGAGTTTGATTAAAGTTTCATAAGACTATTTGAAATGACAGCACTTGAGAATGTTAGAGAATTGTATACTCTCGATAGATCTATCGATAAATAGCGAGATGTATAGATAAATTGATAGATTGACAACTTGGTAGCTACGTAATATCACTTTTTACGATGACTGCAATTGCAATGCATAGTAAAGCTAATGTATATCTATTTTGTCCATCATGTGTCTGCCAAAGCTGTGGAACAGTTAAGGCTGATTAATGATCAATTGACAAAATCAAGTCGCATCTGCGATAACAGAAACTCTTCCAAAATTCACAGAGTCGTTTCATAAACGCAAATGAAATTGTGATTGTCGAGGAAAGCTCGAAAAGAAGAGAAATGAGAGCTCTTTACAGTTTACAGTTTGGCGGCGAGTGAGTGTCGGGGCTAACGGTTAAGTTAATCAACGCATAATCGCATTATTAGCAAACAGAGGGCCGGCGACCCAACTGAACCAAATGCTTACATCATCCGGCTCGCTGCAGTTACAGCCACAGCCACAGCCACAGCATCATCGTATTCATCTTCTCTTTTGAGAGCTGCGCGATCAAAGGTGTCGATTATACAACAGACGACTCATTCGGGGCTCACTTGGCATTGGTTCGGCTGATGGTGCTCTCTCTATGCCTGCTATCGATATATGGCTATAGACTTTACTTTCGTATTTGGGTCCAGTTGAACTTTGGGCATGATGGATGATGGCATCGAAAGTGACCTGGCAGGTGGATGAATTTGATTGCTGCTTCTCACATATCGATATATATCGATGCTCCAAGCATTTGTGGCGTCTCATAGCCAGCCACGAGCTACTGTGTTCTGCTTAGCGTCTTGCGGGATCATCTGGCGGCATCTGAAGCGCATCGGATGCTACGCTTCGAATCGAGGGGTTGTTTAAGTGCCGAAAGTAAAATAAAAGCTGAAGCGCGGCAGCTAGAATTTGAGCACTCGTTAAACTACATACGAAGCAGAAGTCGAAATAAACCGTTGACCCACAAAGATGCACAGAGATACAAGAGATACATTTACCAGACGCCAGAGATACTTTTACGTGCCACTCGAAACGTGAACGAGAAGCAGCAGCAGTGGCAGCTGTTGCTGTTGTTGCTTCTGCTTATTATTTAACTGTAATTTGATTTCAATAATTTAATTACATTTCGTGCGTTGTCGTCGTCTCTCTCTCTCTCTCTCTTCTTCTTTCTTTCTCTGATTATTGTCGGCCGGGTCGCGTCGCTTCTTTTGTTCTACGTATGGTAAATGGGGTTTAATTGCATCTTAAAGATACTTTAGCCACGACTCCAGCTGTGCCTCTTCTTCAGTGTGTGCCTCATAGACATCGTCTGCTTCTTCTTCTTCCTCTACTACTTTTGCCGCAGCTGTTGCGCATTAATTTCAAATTGTTTTTTTATTTTTTTAATTAACTCGAGCAAAATACAAATAAAAATTACGTTTGAAACAGTAAATGCCAAAAAGAAAGTTTGCTTAGCCTCGCCTATCTCCTCCTCTCTCCTCCTCTCTCCTCTCTTTGCCTCTCCTCACTCATCTGACACTTTTCGTCTATTGTTTTTTGCTCGTCTCCTCATAACTTCTTCTCGTATGCTCCTTTGCTCTCCTTCTACTCCTTTGCCCTTCTCTTTCTAGTCCTCTTCTTCCATTCTCATTCTCTTCTCCCACTTCTATTGTTTTCTTACTTTTCTCCTGTTCCTTCTGTTCCCCCTCTCTTGTAAATTCATATTTCAACTTAAAGTTTTTAAGCAGTTTTTCCTCATATTGTTCAAGTTTCTCTCTCTCTCTCTCTCTCTCGTTGGCCTTTATGTGTTTTCTCGTACTCGCTTGACTTCTAGTGAATTGAATTCGCATTTGGCAGCAACTGGAGCAGAGCCACGCCCATCCGAGCGACCCCTTCGCAGCGCAATAGTCATATGACCCAATTGCGTGCCCGGTTCTAAATATGGGAGCAGCACGAATATATATATATATATGTATATCTGTGTGTGTATATATGTATATATATATATAATCCATATCCAGCCTACATTTGCTCGTCTTGTCGCGATCTATTTGTTGGTTTTACTGCTTTTGTTGTTGTTCTTCTTCTTCTTCTTCTTCTTATTGACTGCTCTCGTTCGCCAGCTTCTGCTTTAGTATTTGGCACAGCGATAAAAACCCACGGGAAATCGTAAAAAGAATTCGTAGTTGCACTCAATGTCTAACTGTCTGTCTCTGTCTCTGTCTCTGTCTCTCTACCAATGCAGCCTCCAATAACTCGTCTTTTACTACAGTTTCTGTCACCTCATCTATCTAGCTAACTGTCTACATTTGTCTGTGCCATCTTCTTTAAGTTATGTTCTCTACTCTCTGCACTTGCTCACTCTTCCATCTCAACTCGCATTCTTGCACTTCCTCTCCTCTTCCCGATCTACTCTTCTGCTTCTATATTGTCCCACTCTAGTTCCTAGAGACAGCAGCTCCTTGTTGACTTTAGCCCATCTCTTCCTTCTTTCCCTCTTCATCTGCTCTTTGAGCTCATTTTCATATGGATACTTCGAGTGCTGCTGCTGCTGGACGCTTCATGAGCATCATCTAGGCATGCCCTCCTCGGTCCCTTGGCAATCCTGTGCTACTCTTCGGCTGCTCTTTCTGCCTGCTCATTCATGTACTCATGATGCTTGATGCTTGGGCATGAGCTGGGATTAGTTTGCTCTCCTCTGCTGCTGCTCTTCACAGTTGTGTGCATGCACCTGTGCTCCATGGTCACTTGTTGCTTATCAGTGTTGAAAATTCGCAATTGAAATTGAAATTGTATAATTAATTACTGTTTGGCTGAGCCAAACTTCATGATTGATCGGTGAAAGATTTCCGCTTTCATAAACAACAAACAACACACAACAAACAGCAAACAACGAGCAACAACAACAACTTTTACTCACTTCCAATTTGGTTTATTTGTGGTTGTTGTTGTTGTTGTTGCTGTTGCTTATGCGCTTTTGAGCGTGCGCAATGCATTTTCTTTTGCCTCTGGGTGTCTTCAAATGCAACAGTTGGCCCAGACGGGGGCGTGGCAGAGGCGGCTGTGGGGGAATCTTTGGCTATTGAGTGTGTGGGTGTTATGTGGAATGGAAAGGAAAGCAAATGCATTTGGCAATAAAAGTGAAAAAGCGCACTTTCGTTGCCAAAATACAAAACGCAGCTAACTGACTATAACTAGCCGCCTATAAAGTACAGTGAAAGCTCCACTGACGAACAATCTAGCAATGGATATTTGATTGCATATCGAGGATAAGTGAATAAATTCTAAACTTATTTTGATGGTCCATCATCAACGGTTCGTTCTCTATGGCCCTACAGTGAAAACTCTATTGATGCACAGCTGCTACAATATAGAATCAATGCGTCGCAAGTTCTTCGCGCTGTCGTTTTTCTCTTATCCTAGCCCAGTTCACAGCTAATATGCCCCAAACTATTTCGCTCATTTGATTTGTGTGCTCGCTATTACGAGCTTTCACTGTGTACTAACAACTATATGATATTATATATTTTTACTGCATACACATCATTCAAACCGGCTTGGTGATGGCGCTGGCGCTTGGCGCTTGGCGCTTGGCGCTTGGCTGGGCGACCGGTTAGCTGGTCAAGTGTTTTGTTGGCCAAAAAGGCGCCCAGCAACTTTCACAAGCCGTTGACTTGGCTTTAGACAGCGGCGCAGACAATTAACAAATTGCATTCATTGTTGCACTTCTCGTCTTTATCTGTGGTTTGTTCTTCTTCTTCTTCCACAGTCACAATCGAAGGCGTCGACGCTGTCGTCGGGCGCACGCGCCGCTGCGCAAACGCTGAACGTGCCGTTAGAGCGTCTGGAGGCCCGACAGGCTGGCCGCAACGAGCACGCCCACTCCAATGGCCAGGACGAGCAGCAGCAACAGCAGGCGGAGCTGCATCATCATCAGCAGCAGCAACAGCACCAGCAGCAGCAGCAGCTGGACGATGCTGCCGAGGAGCACCAGCAGCAGCAGCAACACCAGCAGCAGCAGCTGGCCGATCAGCAGCGGTTCATGAAGCAGCAAAGCTATCTGCATTCGGCACGCAAGTCGAATGCCGGCCAGCAGCCCAGCTCCCTGACCAATGGCCACCAGCAACAACAACAGCAGCAGCAACACCAGCAACACCAGCAACAACAACAGCAACAGGCATCGCATCATGACTTAGATGGCAACTATATGCTGCAGGAGGAGCTCAATGGCAGCGGCACGCCCCCATCCGTTACCAAGTACTCACTGCTGCAGTTCGCCATGCAGCACTTCCGCAACGAGTAAGAGCAGCCATTTTTGATTATCATATTATTTATCAGTAGCAAAACATGTTTTTTGTTTTTATTTAAAAACAACTCGTATTCGCCATAGAAAGTAATAATAACATAATAACAGAGCGCATAGTTAACGGATTAATTATCGTGCTCTCTTCTGATCCTTATTGAGTCAAGGCAAAGCACATGCACTGTCTCTGTTGTGCGTGCAGCGCTGCGTATTTGGCTATTTCAGCACGCGCTCATTACCGTTACAATACAATCTTCCATGCTTGAAATTGCATTTCAAAGTCAAATTCAAATGCAAAGACGCAAATCCATTTACGATTGAAAACAATAACAACAAAGCAACAAAAAGCAATCGCAAAGCAACAACAACTGCGTGCCTAGATAACGGTGTCGCTTGCGTCCTCTCTTTTGATCCTCTTATTCCGAGGCAAGGCACATAACATGCAAGGAAACGAGACAGATAGTGCAGCTGTGTTATTGCTTGCCAGCAGCTAGAAAAATTGCTTAAGGCATGTCGAAGCACAGATACCCTTTCTGTCGACTGTCGATATGTGTATACATGTATGTAAGGTGTGCCGGAAATTAATTTGAAATTGTAGTAGTGTCATGAGCTGTTGATTCAATGCCTAATTAAGTTTTCTTTACACATGACTTGCATACTATTCAGACAATGTTCTGTTGTAGTCAAATTGACTGGATAAGCTAAAGCTGACTCCGTTTGAGAAAGGGTAGTCTAATGGCTGCTTGTGTATTGAGACTGCAAGCCATAACAGACGCGTAAGGAGTCCCAGCAAATGGCTGTTGCGTCTGCAGAGATGGCAAACATGAAGTAATTGGATTAATGGCAACAACAACTGCCATGAAGAAGACATAGAAGTGCCGTTAGAATAGATTAAGCTGCAGCAGCATAGGCAAATGGCTGCTATGCTTGCCAAGATGGCGGGGCATGAAGTATTTATAGCTTATAGCCGAAACTCCATTTTGAATGATGTCAACCAATTACTTATGTCGCCTGCTCTCTCTTTCTCTCCCCCTCTCTCCACAGTCAATTACGCGATGCCGATCGCCATCATGAACGCCACCAATCGTCGTCGGCTGCGAACCGCTCCTATGCGGAGCTGGTCAAGTGGCAAGGCCACGCCATACGCCTGCCCCTGCTGCGCCTGCCCAACGACCTGGCGCCACTGGCGCTGGAGTGCTTCGACTGCATATTGCGCTACTGCGGCGACATACCGCTCGATCCAGAGCTCACCGAGGTGAAGTGTGTCTACACCGTGCTGATGGTAGGCCAGCTGAGCTGAGACCAAGCGTTGCAGTTTGATTAATCCCCTTCTGCTTTCAGCACTGTCACAAGTACTTGGCGCTGCGGGACGAGGTCTACTGCCAGCTGATGAAGCAGACGACGGCGAATCGCTCGCCCTGCCCGGACAGCTCGCAGCGTGCGTGGCGCCTGCTGAGCATCTTGGCCGCCTACTTTGGCTGCTCGGACGCACTGCGTCCGTACCTGATGGAGCACTTGACATCCGCTGCCTCCGACCGGCGTCGCTCGTGCCATGGCACTGCCGCCGTCTGCCTGACCAATCTGCGCAAAACGGCTCGCTGTGGCGGCCGCAAGAACGTGCCCAGCGTGGAGGAGGTGACAGCCGTCTCGGCCGGCCGCTCGGCGCGCAGACAGATCTACCGCCTGCCCGGAGGCGCCGAGCGTGTGGTGAACACCCGCTGCTCCACTGTGGTGGCCGATGTCATTGCCGAGCTGTGCGCCCTGCTGGGCGTTGAGTCGGAGGCCGAGCAGCAGGAGTTCTCCCTGTACTGCATCGTGCAAGGCGACGCCTTCACCATGCCCCTGGCCGCCGACGAGTACATCTTGGACGTGACCACCGAGCTGCTAAAGTCCGGTCAGCCCTTCTATTTGATATTCTGCCGCAGCGTCTGGCACTTCGCCCTGAAGCGCGAGCCGGCGCCAATGCCGCTCTATGTGGAGGTGCTCTTCAACCAGGTGGCGCCCGACTATCTCGAGGGCCTGCTGCTCGAGCTGCCCGGCAACGGGGTGCCGATGCCGGAGATGGTGCGCGACATGGCGCGCATCGCTGCGCTGCTCCACCGCGCCGCCGACCTGAGCCATGTGCCAGCCATGAAGGAGATCAAGTTTCTGTTGCCCAAGCCAGCGTTGGGCATACGTGAGATTCGTCCGGCCCAGTGGGTCGGACTGGTGCAGTCCGCTTGGCCGCAGGTGGCCAATCTCAGCCCGGGCCAGGTGAAGGCCCAGTTTCTAAACGTGCTCGCCACCTGGCCCCTGTTCGGCAGCAGTTTCTTTGCGGTGAAACGCATCTGGGCCGAGGAGGCGGGCCCCCATGTCGAGGACAATCACAGTCCCATGTGGCGAGATCTGATATTGGCCTTGAATAGACGCGGAGTGCTATTCTTGGATCCAAACACACACGAGACCCTGCAGCACTGGAGCTTCATGGAGGTCATATCGACGCGCAAGGTAAACATATAATGGATTATCTTATGATCATTATCGAAGCTAACTTTTGAGTTGCCTTATCGATATGCTTATCGATCAATGCATCAATAGAACTAGCTATCGATATATTTAGCTGTTTAGTTTTCTCTCTCAATAGATAGATCGATTTACAGATCTATCTGTGCGTCTGTCTTTTGATTGATCTACATATCTCTCCAGCAATATTTCCATCTATCGATGTATTACTCAATCTATCGACCTACCCATATGTCCACATACGTATTTATATGTTACATATATATATCAGAACTGATTCTGTTTATTCAGCGGATGTATTCTCTATCCGTATATCCATGGAACATTCCCTACTTCTATCTATAGATCTATCTATCTTTGCATTTATCTATAAATATCATTCACTCAACTCTCTATCTCTCTCTCTCTCCCTCTCTCCGTCCACTCCAGGTTCGCTCAGAGGATGGCGCCCTCTTTCTGGACATGAAGGTTGGCAATTTGATGCAGCAGCGCGTTATACGAGTGCAAACGGAGCAGGCGCACGAGATCTCTCGGCTGGTGCGTCAGTATATAACCATGGCACAGATCAGTCAGCGCGACAAGCGGGAGCTCAACTAGAACGCAACGAACATTACGAATATACATATGCAGACATACATCAATATATATATCTATATATATCTTGATTATTATTAAAATAAAGTCCACAATTTTTTTTTTTTTAATCATTGTTAAGTATGGCCTACGCCTATACCTATACCCAAATCTTTACCTACCCGTACGTCTATTTCTATGCATATATATATATAATATGTGGGAGCAGGATCTATCCTAGCCATATTCCATTATCCCTTACCCCGCACATCTGAACGATTTGTGTCCTAATCTTAAGCAACAATGTGCAATCGCAATTCAAGTATTTGCCCCCCTTTTCCTGCTGTTTCCCCCCTCTACTTTTCGTATATCCAGCACAATTTTTTCAATTGCTATAATTAAGAATCTAAAATATACATATATAACATTAAATATATATAAATCGATTTTTTTTTTGACAATTTGTTAAGCGAAATTCATTGTTTAGATTAATAAATGAAATTTTATGCAAACCATATATCATATATATCCAAAGATCTTTTCTTTATAACAAATTTACACTGGCGCTATGTATATATATACCCTGCATAAATGGGGTAGAAGGGTATATTGATGATATTGATATAGATATACCCATCTGTCTATATCCATCTGTCCAGGTGACCTATAGTCGAATATATATCATCTATTTGGATCGAGCTAATCGAAGCGTCTGCAGTTTAACTAATTCCTGAAGCTGACTCTGGCATTTAATTGTAAAATAAATAATTTATTAACTAAATACATACAAAATACGTCACATATAGAGATATATATATACGTATATACATATATGACAAAAAAAAAACAATTTTCTCAAATAATATTTGGTATAAGTTGATCGTTGTCATCGTCCTCATCATAGTCGCCATCATCCTCATCCTCGTCCTCATCATCCTCGTCCTCCTCATCATCATCGTCGTCCTCTTCGTCGTCCTCCTGCGCTGCCGCCGCCAGCTGCTGCTGCTTGTGTGCGCTGAACTGTGACCCACTTGTTGCATTGTTGCCAGCTTCCTTTACTGTCATAGTTGCTGTCGTCGTTGTTGTTGCCGTCGCCTCTGTTGCTGCTGCTGCTGCTGCTGGTGGTGCTGTTGGTGCGGGACGCCTCGTTGTTGTCGCCTCATCAGCAGCGGCATGGCCATAGCTTAACGCTTCATTAGACGCATTGTGGTTGGCAACACGTGTGCCCAGCCCCATTGTCGTTGTCGTTGCTCTGGCTGTCGTTGCTGCGGTCTCGTTTAATCCCATGTCCGGCAACATTGTTGTGCTGCTTGTTGTCGTGGGTTTGCCTGCTGTTGTTGCCGTGGGCTGCTCCAGCTTGCTGCCATCATCAGGCGCAGCTGTGGCCAGCTCCAGCTCCACTTCGAGCTCGGTGGACGGCGGCGTAATGCGCGGCGGGGCCACCGAGGTCAACAGGAACTCATCCAATATCTCGCAGTTCTTGCCCAGATAGCCCTGCCGGCACTGGCACCGATAGCTGCCGTCCTCGCGGCTCAGCGATATGCACTTGCCGTCGTTTTCGCAAGTGTTCGGATTATCCAGGCAGTAGGTCAACTCTGCAGCAGAAGAAAGTCTGTTACTAATATGCAGTACTTATGGAATGGTATGAATGGTATTTACTCTCGTCGCAGAGCATGCCGCCCCAGCCGGGACGACAGTTGCATTCCCAGGGTGCATCACAGTCGCCGTTCACGCAGCCAGGATACGGAAAACACTTGTCGCACTGCGCCCCAGTCCAGCCCACCTTGCAGCTGGCACAAAGAAATTGAAGTCACTTTGTTATAGAAATAGCACTAGAAATAAGTATGGCGGCAAAGAGGCCATCTTTGCCAGCGCACTCAACATGCAAATTGCCCCAGCCAATTGCATTGCTCGAACCTCTTCTTCTTTCCGATTGCGGCAGCCATGAGCAAAAATCAGTTGCGCTATCTGTCTCTTTCTTTTGCATGTGCGCTGCCATGGCTCGATGAGGATCAAAAGGGAGAATGAAATCACAGCCGTTATCTGCTCGCCGCCATTCGAAGTTTGTTAAATTGGGAATGGATTCATTTCACTAATGGCGTCGACTGGATAACGGCTCTATTTATGAGCCCCATACTTATCTGAATCTATGCACAATTCACTCCGAATCGATTCCGAATCGAGGTGAATTCAACTTACCGACACTCTCCAGGCTTGCGGCAGTAGCCGTGCTGCTTGTTGCAGTCCGATGCGCACAACGCTGGAGGATGGTAAGAGAGAGAGAGAGAGAGAGACGTTGAGAATCTAGAGAGCAGTCGCTGCGTGTCTCCCGCTCACCTGTCTGGCATAACAGGCCCGTGTAGCCGGGCTCGCAGTTGCACTCGAGCGGCTTGTTGCAGGTGCCGTGCTGGCAGCCGGGCATCGTGGCACACTCGCTGCAGGTGCGGCCCCCCCAGCCGATGCGGCAGCGGCACTCGCCGGGCGCCTCGCAGTAGCCGCGCGTGCTGTGGCAGCCGCTGCGGCAGCTGGCTGCAAGCGAGAGGACGTATTAGAGTAATGGGTCTATCGATCTGGCAGTCGGACTCACGCTCTGTGCAGAAGAGCCCATCCCAGCCGGGCTTGCAGACGCACTCGAAGGGCTTCTTGCAGGTGCCGTGCTGGCAGCCGGGCAGCGGGATGCACTTGTCGCAGTGCTCGCCGGTGTAGCCGATGCGGCAGCGGCACTCGCCCGGTCGCTGGCAGTAGCCTGTGGAGCGAGCAGAAGTTGAGATCGAGTTGACTCCCTCCGGCGGACTCTCACTTACCGTTCATCGGATCGCAGCCGCGGCGACACATCGGCACCTGGCAGAGATCGCCCTGCCAGCCGGGCAGGCACTTGACGTCCCCCTTCTCGTCGCAGCTGTAGTGCGAGTTCATCTGGTACTTGGGCGACTTCTCGCAGGCCTGTGCCAATGGAGCAGCTGCTTTAGCTAACTGACGGACTGGGCGCCTGGGCTCTACTTACGCGTTGCTTCCACAGCGGAATATTCGAGTTGACGCTCGTCTGCCTCGCATCAAAGTTGCGCCTCAGCGCCTCCCCGCCGCCCATGCTGTTCGCCACCAGCAGCAGCAGCAGCGCCAGCGGCGATCCCTCCGACTCGGTCATTTGCGTGTGGCTGTGATCAGTCCTAATCGCGGTCATTCGGAGTAACGTAGCGCTGAACTCTTCTCATATGCGATATTTTCCTTACACCGAATATACGTTGAATCGTTATTCTATTTATTGGAATGGACAGCAATTGAATGAGGTTAAATCTAAGGTGAATTCCCTGCGAAATAGCAAGTTTACTTTGACTCCGAAACTTGACTATATTCCCTCTTAAGCTCGAATTGCTTGTTTCATTGGCATTCACTCAAATCTGAATTTCCCCAACGTTTGAGCTCATTGAATTATTCCCGAAACTTCTTTCCAATTAGCTTGTGCTCATTCCGAAAAATAATAATTCCGAATTCACTTTCAGCTCCTAACTTAAACTTACTTCGCATGAACTTTTCAAATAATTTCCAGTTACTTCTTGATTTGTTGAAGAATATCTATGAATAATATATATAGCTAGACCATATAGCTCCAAGCTACTCTTCGATCTGATTTGAACTCTACCTTTGGTGGCTTTAAGAACAAGCCAAGTTCGTTTCGTTTAGATGAACGAAAAAGAAATCCCGCTCGAGTTGCACAGAGTCAACTGCTATAAACAGTTGCCGCACCAAAGACAATTAACATGTTCCAAAACAACTTTCTTCGTGGCCAACAACCACAGCAACAACAACAACAACAACAATAAGAACAGTTAGGTCTAAAGACAGAGCTAGACAGACAGACAGACTGACAGACTGATGGCTTGACTTGATGAATCATTGCCATACGCACCACACAATATCTATATGTATATGTATTTATTTAGAGCTAACGGTAATGAGCTCCTTAAGCGAATCTTAATCCAAAGTGCCTTCCACGTCCGTCTTGGCTTGCGTCTGCTTAGCTACTAATCAATTTCAGCATTGACTTTGACTAGTCCGAGCTTGAAAGCTTCTCTCTCAATTTCCCTCTCTCTCTCTCTCTCTTCTTTGGGAGAAATTCGAAAAACCGGCAACTGGCAACGGCTCACTCAGCTCTCTGCGCACCTGCGCAATTGGGTCAAACGGTAACGATCCAAAATCAGCTGTGCGCTGCCACGCCCCACGCCAGACGCGCTGTCAGCTAGCCCCTCCGAAACCAGTCAAACAAATTCGTTTGCTCCTCTGTTTCGGCCCCAGTTGCTGATTTCAGTTCTCTTTGTTTTTGTTTTTTAAAATAATTTATTTATTTTTGTTCTTTTTATTGTGAATGCGCAATTTTATCATTATTATTTTCATGTATATATATATACTCATATATATATATAAATATATATATATGTATATATATATATTAGAATATTCAATTTCAAATTTGTATTGATTTCTTGTTGTTTTTCGTATGTGCCTTAATGTTTATTTAATTAATTTGTTTTATAATTATATATATTATTTTTTTCGAATTTCTCTTAATTTTTTATTGGTTTCTGTTCTTTTTGATATATTCTCTCTATGTTTGTTTGTTTGTGTGTGTGTGTGTGTGTGTGTGTTAGTGTGCTTACAGAATATATATTTGAGACCGCTGCAAACACTTGAACTTGGAAAAGTGCTCCAAAGGGAACATCTATTAAGGGATCTTGCGAAATTCTCAGACTAAGTGAAACTGAATTCGATATATGAATCTAAATCTGAGCTTATATAGCAACATATGTTGCTACATCCATTCGAATAAATGTTTGCAGCACTTCAAATTGATATTCTCCGCTTTGTAGGCTAGTGTAAATGTATGTAGGTGTTGTAGGTTAATGGTTAGGCATGATAAACTCGTACATTGATGAGGGCTGAAGTAATATTGTGTAATCCATATAGATCTGATTTTATATATATGTCTAGTCCGACTGGTCACATACACTACATTATTTCGCTTTTATGACTGCATGTAATTCGTATTATTGGAATGTTTTTATAGCGCTTACGTCTAGTCTGGAAGTGGAGTTTGGGGTTTTAGAGAAAACGTTGAGTTCGGACAAGCTCTAATTGCGCTGTCAAGATTCTGTTATTGAATTTTTTTCTCATATTTTATTTAGCATAGCATAGTGGACAGCGGTACTTGAATCCTTGTTGAATTTGTTTTCCTCTTGTGATCAATTCGAAATATTTTTGTAGTATCTTTTCTGATAGTACATAGATACAGCTATATATGTATCGGTAGATCAGGGGACCTGGTTGCTAATATAATTATATTTATTGGTATATATCGTATTATTAGTTAGTTATATCTCTCGTTCTGGGCTAAGACTCATCGATCAGCCGTTATTCATTTGCCGCTGAGCTTTGCCAGACACCAGAGTCTGAGTAAATGATCTATTTACAACTTGGGAGACGGTAGGAACTCGCCGGTTTCATTTACAGCGGGTTTCTACCGTACTCTCACGCTTCATAGCCTTGCAGGCGTTTCCTTTTAAGCAAGGGACATAACGGTGATTCCGATCAGACTCGTTAGAGTAGTTTACTGCAAGGATATTTGAATTCGGCCTGCCGAAAATCTCGTGTTTTTTTTTTCGCTTTCTATATATTATTTTGTTCAGCTATCGATTATGCGTGATCTATTGAAAGAGAGAAAGATATGGGGAGAACGGGGCATGGGTAGACTCAAAAAAATACACATTCACTGTATGTAAATTCTTAATTAACTGTCTTAAAGTTTAAACACTTATATGCGAGTTCTTCTCTCATTGTGTGCGTGTGAGTGAGGGAGGGGTGGGGCGGGGTGCTGGGTGCTGTGGACAGCCGCCGTGCGATATGATGCTTGGATATGATATGAATACAAAGAAACGAGACAAATAGTTTGGTTTTGTTACTCGTTCTCTGTCGTGCGTACAGCCACTGTGAGGAATCGTCCCATTGGGTATGCGGGCAATGCAGCTAAATTCTAAACTGCCGTTACTTAAATTGCCTTTGCAGCCATAGCAAACAAAAGCAACAAATGCGCAGCACTGCGCACAGATAACGGTTCTATTTTCTGACTTTGCTTTGATCGTCGTCGAGTCAATGCAAACAATACTTAAAGAAAAGAGACAGATAGTGCATACAGATATTGTATTGTTGCTTGTTCTTCACTCCAGCGTCAGCAGGTAGATTGCTTGCCGAAGCACAGATACCCTCGTTTTTTTTAGGACTATTGTTTTGCAATAATGCAAGAATTACATATAATAAATCTAAATCTATATGAAATATTGTTGACTTTTATCAAATATGGATATGGACTGACTTCATCAGCAAGTGTGCTGAAGGTGTTATCGGAAAGAAAGAGAGAGCAACAACAAAAACAGAGCATGGAAGAATTATAGCCGTTATAACGTAAGCCGTTAATTATGTATGGCTATTACCCAATGGGAACTGGAGAGATAGGCTTGGGCTCTGGGATGGGCTCTTGGGTTTGATGAACTCGCTACATAGACTACGCGTATACCCTACACATATATATTGACGTCCTCGATCAGATTTAAAAAAAAAAAGTGAATATTTATCCAATTATTGCATTGGATGGCTGCGAATACTGCTCCTGCTGTGGCAGCTGCTTAGACGAATATGAATTGCGCGTGGTTGCATTTCTTGGGTGGGCCGATGGTCAGGCGCAGCCACTTGCCGCGACATGACGGCGCCGGCAACGCGCTCCAGCGCGTCGTGCGACCCGACAGCCCCTCGCCGCGGCAGTGATAGTTGAGCAGCAACTGTTGCTGTTGTGGCTGCAGCGCCGGCGGCAACATGGGCGCCGCAGCACTGGCGCTGCGCTTGGACGTTGCAGCGCGTGGATGATGCGATGATGGCCTCTGGTGCTTGTAGCCATAGCTCTCGCGGCTGGCCGCCTCCGCCTCCGCTTCCGTTTCCGCTTCCGCATCGCCATCCGCCTCGGAGTCGAGCATATTTTGTGCATCATCCTCCTCGGTGTCCTCCTCCTCCTCCTCCTGCTCCTGCTCCTGCTCGTCCTCGTTATCATCGTCATTGTCATTGCTGTTGCTGCTGCTGCTGTTCTCCTCGCCCTCCTCTGTTAGATATGGCTGTGCCATTAGAGTCTTATGCGTTGTAGTTGTTGTTGTTGTTGTTGTTGCTGTTGCGCCTCTGCTGCCCGCCTTCCCCACAGCAGCCTCAGCATCTTTGTCCTGCACCAGCGCCTCGAGGTCACAGCGCACAGTTATGCGATCACCTGCAGCAGCACATTGTCCATGAGGCGTACAAGGGAAATCTAGTGAATCACTTACCCTCCAGCATCAGGTTGTAGGGCGGCAGCTTGTGGCAGGCCTTGGATGCCTTGATGACCTCGAACTCCACGCAGTATCTGCAAGAAGCGAGAGAGATTGATTGACTATAGATATGGATAGAAAGTTTTCTCATTTATGGATACCTTCACAATGTCTATCAAATGCCATTTAATCATATTCGGTTTATGTCTTTGTGCCCCTTAATAGACCAAACCCCGATTACGTTTAATTTAAAACATTTTCCATTTCACGTTTTCAGCGATTGACAGACAGACATTAGCTGTATTTAACATTACAATGAACTTTGACATGGAAATAATCAGCAAAGGCAGCGAGAGAGAGAGGGAGAGAGCGAGAGAGAGAGAGGGGGAGAGGGAGGAAGGCAGGAGCAGACAAAAGCACTTACAGAATAATGATTATTGTGCAGTTGTGCGTGGGCGAAAAAAGTGTAAGAGTGAGAGAGCGATACAGAGAGTGTGTGAGACAGAGAGAGAGAGAGAGATGGGCTATACAGTTCAAAGGCGTCGCTATTCAACCGGAAATTCGAACTGTCTATTAAGCCTAACAATTTCCGTTTCCGTTACGCAAAAAACGCAGCGCCACAAAAACATAGAGACAGAGAGAGAGAGAAAGGGGGGAGAGAGAGATGGCGATAAAGGGAGAACAGAGAAGAGTCAACTGTCAAGTGGCAGTGGGTGTCTGTTTAAATGTGTGTGCGTGTGTGTGCGTGTGTGCGTGTGTGTGTGTGTTTGACAGCTGTCAAGGTGTTGACATCGGAAATTGCGTCGGAAATTCAAATGTGCCCTCAAATGCCGCTGATGCTGCTCCTCTCATGGATTGGGCGGATATTTGCCCACTTAGCCTCGAGAGCTCAATTAGCAAATCGCCAAATTAGCCAGGCAGCCGAATTCACAATTGACGCCACGGAAATCAAAATCGCAAATTTGAAAAAAGGAAAAACGGTAAATGCAATGACGACAGGTGGAACAGGTATGAGGAGTGCTGGCTGATGAAGGGGCTCTGCATGGAGGTCAGGGACATGGAGAGAGAGGGAGAGCCATTTAATGTGTTTTTAGTTGAAGTGCGGCTGCATACCTCACATGATATCTGCAGCCCTTGAGCTATTGGAGTGATGCCTCTCAATGGGCAAGTGCCCTACCACTTGTCCAGGTTGACTCGTGTTGCTCTCATCATACTTGAGCCAGGAATTCGGGCTGCCAGAAAAGGAAATTTTGCTGGCCCTCACTTATATGAACAGCAGCTGCATTCCAACTTTGATAGCCCTACCTCTCCAGGTACTCGAGATATGCCAAAATAGATGAGTGGTCCTAGACTAAGTTACAACCTACGTGATGTATAGGACCTCAAGCTCTTGTGCCGCATAGCCAATCCACCCAATGATCAAATGACTACAGGGTACACAAAACAAACGAAAAGCAATTGAAATCAAACCCAAAGCAAATGCCGCTCTGATAGAAATATAATTCATGCCGACGTCGGCTCTACTGGAGCTGAGCACTTAATTAACTTGGCCCACAGCTAGGCGACGCCATGTCCTGCGCGTCCTCCACGTTCTGTCGCCCGCCCGCCCTCGGTCTCCAGCTAGCTGGCCATAAAGGTAAATTGAAAAAACCAAAAAGAAGAACAAGCAAAAACAACAACCAAAACACGTAAGAAAATGCATGTAAATAAAAACTCCGGCGTAGTCGTCGTCGTCGTCGCCGCACAGAAGCAATAAAAATAAACAAGGCAATGGCACAGGACTCTTCAGCAGCAGAACATAATTAAACTCAAGTGGCAAGGGGCTCACGCTGACAGCGGGCGGGGTGGGCGGAACGCCAGCAACATGGAGTGGTCGAAGCTGAGAATAAGACATAAAAAGAATTTTCCGGACTTGAACTTGATGAATACATTTTTTAGGCAATTTCTTAGGGAAATTAAAAACAAAATAAAATAAATTATGTATATATATTTATGTATATGTGTGTATATGTCATATTCTTAACAGTTGCTATAATTATAATGTGACGAGAGAGCAAGAGAAACAAGAAAGAGAAAGAGAGAGAGAGAAAGAGAATGATTTGCATAGGTCAGAATGAATGGATGGAGCAGGAAAGGGGAAAGAGGGGAAAGAGTTTCTTTCAGGTAAGGTTACTTAGTTCGGGTTTCATTCAAATAAAGATCTCGCACTGTCACTTAATAAAACTTTCATATGGCAACTCTACATACATACATATATGTTCATATTCGTCGAGCCCATCTGGCAACTCTGTATCCTTTGAGCAATAGCCAGACTTGGGTCATGCTTCAAATCAGAGTTATTCAAAGTAAGTCGAGCAACAAGTTGACAGAGCGCCAAATCGAAGGGTGAAGGGGACGACTCGTGTATGTGTGTGCGTGTGTGTGTGTGTGTGCGTGTGCTTAGCCAAGGCAAATGTCGACACTCTGGCAATTGGCTTCGGCTGTGGCTTCAGCTGTGGCTCCGGCGGCGGCTCGAATCGCCTCCGTTGCGCGCCATATGCTGGGGAAAAAGTCATTTTCTTGTCAAATATTTTGCCACTTCAAAGGACTCGGCGACAACTGTCAATGCCAGGCGAGCAGCGACACGACAATGAATGTGGCACAGGCACTTAAAAAAGTATTTGCACTCGTTTATGTGAAAGCCAAGCACAAACAAATAACAAAAAGAGAGAGAGAAAAAAAAAACAATTTCGATTGCGCGGGGCGGCCGTGAACGACTCTCGGAGATCTTAACCTTTGCTCTCCGCTGGCCGCGCCCCTTGCCTTGTTCCGTGCGTCGCTTTGCTACACTGCCAGCTAATATGCCCCATTTCTATCGCTCGCCTGGCTCTACTCCAGCTGCTAAAAATAATTGCTTGACAAAGTTGGCTCACAGCTTGCGGTGTTTCCCCACTTCTGTTGACCTCTTCTCTCCCTCTCTCTCACCCTCTCTCTCTCTCTCTCTCTCTCTCTATCTGCTCTCTTTCCCGCACACAAAAACCGGAAACGTAAAACGACGCGGCGACATCTCAATTTGGATTTTAGTCAATGGCGGCGCAACAGGCAGCAGGCCGCAGGCAGCAGTGCAGCGCAGCCCTGGGATTGAGCTGGACCCTCGAGCCCTGGGCCGGGGACTGGCCGCTGGACTCGTGCCCAGGCAAAGGAAACACTTTGCGGCGCTTGAGTGAGCCGCCTCCATGGCCGCATGCAGATGGAGGCCCAGGCGGAGGTAAAGACTTTGCTGGACTTTGCTTTCGCTTAGCTGCCTTCCTGTGTGTCCTTTGGCTGCTCTTTCTTCTTCTTGTGCTTCATCGTCTGCTTCTTCTTCTGCTTGTGCTTTGTCCTCGCTGCAAAGTTTTTAATGATGATTGAGCAGCGCGCGCAAATCTTGTTGCACACTTTCGAGCGACTGAGCAATGCAAATGCAGCTGCCCTCGGTTGCCATCGTTCTCTTTGCACCCCCCTCCCACCTCCCCTCTCCGCACACTTGCTCTTCATCGCCTCTCCCTGACCAGTCAGTTCAATGTCCTTTCGCTTGGCTTGGCAAATAATATATGCATGCATACAAACATATTTATGTATATATATATGTATGTGTATGTATATATATATATACGATAATTGATATTGACAATGTGTGGGCGAGCTGCTCGGGCTGCCAGCTAAAATTAGAACTGCAAATAGAGCGTGGGCCGGCGCTTCTTTGAATTGCTGCCTATAAAGGATGCGCCATAGCTCAGATATGGTAAAGTGAATGAGAGAAGGAGAGAAAGAGAGAGAGAGAGATATATAGGGAGTAAAATATTATACTTAGGATTAAGACTAGACTCTAGATTTAGACAGAAAGAGAAGCACTAAGACTTGGAGTTATTGGCCCAGACAACACACAGTTTAGCCTAGGCCTAAGCTTCCAACTGAGCCATAGAGCGTGTCTAGAGTATGAAGAGCAACTGCTGAGGACCAGAGACAAGAGACGTCACCAGGACTCTCTGGGTACGTTGAAAGTGCGAGTCTCATGCTTTGCCAACTGAACTTGAATAGAACAGAACTTTGGAAACCCTTTAGGGAATGTGACTAGAGGAGTTCTCTCTGTCTCTCTCTCTCTCTCTCTCTCTCTCTCTCTCTCTCTCTCTCTCTCTCTCTCTCTCCCAATCGAATTTGTTTGCTCTGCTTGCAAACACTTTTATTATTTGAAAGCAGTTAAATTTCTTGTTTGCTATCAGCCAGTCACACAGCTCACACACACACACACACACACACACACACATATATATGCTGCATAATACATCATTTATATTCTCATCAAATGAATTTAGTCGACTGCATTAGAAAGTAATTAGAAAGTTGATGCTTATCCATTTCGTGTGGCCTCTAAAACGCATTAAGTTGCGTTTACTCAAACTCTAGCTCAGCGTAAGTATACTCCCTCCCTCTCTCTCACTCTCTCCCCCACTCGCCCTCTTTCTCTCTCTCTCTCTCACTCTCTCACTCACTCCCCCACTCTCCCTCTCTCTCTCTCTCTCACACTCGTTCTATCTCTGTGTGCTGTGCCTTGTCCTTCGCATTAAGTGCATAATTCAATTTGAAAGGCAGACTTTGGAGTGCCCCCTTGAAAAGTATGCAAAAGCACAGGCAAAGCAACCACCCACACACACACACATAAACACACACACACTCACACACACACAGATGAGTTGGGCATAAAACGTGGGCAGCTGCGTTTGTTTAATGAAAATAAAGTAGCAGCTTTTACGCATTTTTATGGCTTTTATTCAACTGTTTGAGCGGGGGGGGGCGGGGGCGGGGGCGTGGACGCACCTGCTATGCAAATTAGCATACACATACATATATATGTATGTATGTATGTGTGTGTGTGTGTGTGTATCATAAAATCTGTCAATTCGCAGCATCATTGTCTTCAATTTTCAGCTGACTTAAAGACTGGCAATCAAATTGTCTACCTCCATTCCCCCATCTCCCCCTCTGCCATAAACTCTCCTATTCTCTCTCTCTCTCGGTCTCTCTCTGTCTCTCTCTCATTCGCTGTGCGCCTGCAAATTTATGCGGTTCAGGCTAATCCTCATGGGGATTTTTCGCTTAAAACGTTTTATTGTTGCCGCACACCCAAAACCAGGTAAAGCTGCAGAGAGTATTTAATGGAGCTGGAACTGGCATGGGAACTGGAACTGCGTGCGAACTAGAACTACAATTGGAACTGGAACGAGAACTAGAGTCGTGAATTACAGCTATGTATGTATGTATATGCAGTTAACATTATAATAACATTATAGGCACATTGAGAGCTGAAAGTGGAACTAGAAATGGAACTGGAAATGGAACTAGAAATAGACTCAGAAATGATACAGTTACAACAAGCTAGAACTAGGATGTCAATTGTAGCTAGAACTGAAACAGAAATTGAGTCAGGAACCAGGAACCTGGAACTGGAACTGGAACTAGCAGCGTGACTTTAACAAGAAGGAGCATGGAACCCTTAGCTTCAGCTGGATCTGGAAACTGCAGACATATTTTATTTACTCTAAAGTAGAGCTGAAGTTGTTGACCCGTAAGTCCTCCCTCCTTCTGGACCTTGGCACTACGGCAGCTCCGACTGCAGCCGTAACGGTAATGCCGGCTGTAATGATAATTGGAACTGGTCTGGAACGGAGAGGGGGACACGGTGCCCGGGCGGACCCTGTCTGTTTCTATTATATATATATTTTAAAAGGCCTGTCGACTGCAGATTTCCCTGATGTCCTGTAAATTTATCACATTACAAAAAAACAAAAAACAGAAAACAAAGTGTGAATTCTTCGCGGGGGTGCTCGCCCCAAGGGTGGGTAGAGAGAGGGAAGGCGTGGCCCCAAAGGTTCATACTGGGTGCGTGTGTATTACCGTTTCGTTCCTTTGTAATTTCTTTTTGCGGCAATCGCTTCGCACTGTCATTATGTAAATGAAATTGTGGCGAATTATTATTTGTATACCCTACGCAGAGCAGCAGAGGGAGAGAGCGGGTCTGCCACATTTGTGAGCGAGTATGTGACACGCTGTGAGAGACTGTCGAAGTTCACTTGCCTCGATTGGAATGCTTGAAACTGAAACGGGAGTATGTTCAATCTACATAGGGTGAGGGTATCCCTATATATATACCACTCTGATTGCACTCCTTTCATTTCTCGTTTATATCAAAAGAGATTTCCCTGCACTTTCCTTTGCAGTTATTGTGAGTGAGTAAAGTCTGAAGCTTCTTTTCTCTTCTCCTGCTCTCTCCTCCCAAGCTGCTTTACTTGGCAGAGCATCTCTCAAAGGGCATTTGCTCTTCGGCTTTTGCTTGCGCCCGAAACTTTCTGCTTGTTATTTTTGGCTGCTGCTCGTTTCTTTTCGCTTCATCTCCTCCTTCTTCTTGGGTTTTTATTTTGTTTTTCTGTTTTGTTATTTGCGTAATTTATTTATTTATTTTCTTTGTCCAAGTTCCATTGCTGTTGCTGTTGTTGCCGCTCAGCATTTGAGCGCATAATTCATAATTTGTGCCGTTCGTCCTTTGTCCTTTGTCCTCGGCCCGTAGTCCTTTAGCGGAGCAACAGCAGCTCCCTCTATCAGCAGCGAGGCAATAAAAGTTTGTCGCTAGTTAACAAATCATTGGACAAGTGAACTGGGCGACTCAACGACAGAGAGCGAGCGAGAGAGGGAGATAGGGAGTGAGAGAGAGAGAGATGTAGCTTTTGATTCAGTTTGAATTGATTTGTGTGTGCGCGCGTGAATGAATACGATTTCGATTTCGATTGCGATTTTTATCGTGGCGTGCAATAAATATTCATGAGCTCCATTCGCTCATTCATCATGCTCATGCGAGCGCTTTCGCCACTCGAGCCACACGAAAGCGAAGCGAATCAATTATCGAACCAAATTGAATCATTTGAGCCGCGGAAATTGATTGATCGAATATGTAATTCAAATTCGAGAGCAACAAAACTTTCGCATGCATGTGGATCCATATGAGAGTCTTATCGATAAAGATATCTATCGATAACGAATAGCCTAGCTATCGATATGTTTTGCCGTACAGTTGGACTGTCCATGAGCACGTTTCATGGGCTTCTCCTCTGCTGCTGCTCTTTGTGGAAATAGATTCGAATTGAAAGCAAATGGAAAAGACATAAAAAATAATAAATTGCGGATTTAATTTAATTTCGCAAACAAAAGTAAAGCGCAGCATAATAAACGGCTTTTGATGAGCAGCGAGAAGCACTCAAACATAAGAGAGACGGACGATAAGAGCGGAGCACAAAATCGCAGACCGCAACAGGCAACAGCAGCAGCAGTCGCGGGAGCAGGAGCAGGAGCAGCAGGAGTAGTACAGCTGAAGGCGCCCATCTGAACATTGAATGGACAACGTGGCGTATGCGGAACGTGATTGATGTCTGTTTGCTTATTTGAAGTGGGCACTGGGCAAGCCACGCCCCTTTGGCCTCATCACATGCAGCAATGAGCAGGAAGCGAGAGTGATAAAGAGAGAGAGTGAGAGTGAGAGAGAGAGGGCAAAGAGATACAGAACCAGAGTTCATAGTGAGACCAACTCATTGACTTGCTTGCTATACCAATGTATAGGGTATCTATGAGCTGTAAATGCTATGAATAGTCTGTAAGTGGAGGATATGCAAGAGAATCTAGATATAGCTTGATATAGAGGGTATCTTTAAGTCGTTAATGCCTTAGTTGAATAGAATGTGTAAGAGAGATGGAGTTTGACTAATAATCGAAAAGTGTCTTGCTTCATTTACAGGGTATCTTTGAGATGTGAATCTTTTTAACTTGAACTTGAACTAAATACTAAACCAAAGAGTAGGATTTAAAAGCGAGGTAAACATGTTAAGTAGTAGCAGTAAATTACAGGGTATCCTTAAGCTGTATATCAGTCCATTGCCAAAGATTGGAACAGAGAGAGCTGCATTGCGCTTTACCCAGTTTAGTTGGTCTACAGCATAGGGTATCTCCGAGTCAGGCTTGCATCTGGGTCTGCAGCTGGTCTAGTGGACAGTTGAAGAAGCCATCAAAGGCAGGGCTAGCGTCAAGGATTGCTGGCCAACCTGTCTGTGTGGCCGAATGGCATGAATCATAAACATTTCCATTTCCAGCTCGAACAAACAAATAGAATGAGAGAGGAAGAGGGGAACGAGGTAGCAGATGGAGAATGAGATGGATGAGAAAGAGCAAGCGGAGGAGGAGGAGGAGGAGGAAAACAAAGCAAGGCAAATGCTCGTGAGGACGAAAATTAACAGCGCGTCAAATCAAGGCGGAGATTTTTATACCGAACAATTTTTATGCGCCTTTTATGATGGATTTTTATTGCAGACGCTTATGCTGATGCGCCCCCTCTCGCTCGCCCGCTCACCCGCCCGCTGTCTCTGTCGCTCGTCCGCAGCTCGCATTACAAGATGAAATTGTTGTTTGCATGCCGCGCGAGTCATAAAAGAGCCGAACAGCTAGCAACAAATTTGGGATTAATACTGAAATTTCTCATTCTTTCCCTGCAGTTGCTCTCCCGTTAACCTAATGCCATAAAAGCGGCTTTGGAAAACGATTCGGCACACACCTTTCGCCTAGAATCGCGATTCCAAATTAAACAAAGTCAAGCGTAAAAGAAGGCTCCAAGTCGCGGAAAATCATTTCACGCTCGATACCTGAATTGAATTTTTAAGGTGCAGCGATTTATCTCCACGGCGACTGCGAAATCTTGAGAGTTATGGCAGAGAAAAGCTAGGCAGGCCACAGTACAGACACCGATGCAGATACGTACACAGATATGCATTCAGTTACCGATAGATATATTGAAAATTAGATGTTTGCATATGAAGATATGGGCTATACCATTTAATTTTCTCTTCTAGTCACTTCTGCCAAAAGTTAGAAATATAAAGAGAGATGTAAGGATGTAATGATATAAAAGATATGAAAGATATGATATGATATGATATGAGAAGGTACCAGGATATGCTGATACTATGATATGTATAGTGGCTTTTAATGCTGTCAAGTTCCTTCTGCCAAAGGTAAAATAGATATAGGGAGATGTAAGGATATGATATGATGTGTGAAGGCACCAAGATATGCTGATACCAAGATAAGAATATCATTGCTCTCTTCTAGCCTCGTCTATAAGGCGAACTTCAATGTGATTCTCGCTGTAACTCTCTTATGAATCAGGATTGATAGCTTCTTTCCATAGATAGTGCCTGCCCATATATAGCTTCTTCCCATAGCTAGTGTCTTTCCATAGACAGTCTCTTCCTGTAGATAGTCTTTTTGCCATAGATAGTTACTCCCCAGAGTTAGTATCTTCCCATAGATAGTCTCATTTCTTTGCGATACTCACTCATGATCCCGATTGTGCTTGTAGGAGTCGCGATAGCGCGAATGCAGATTGTGGCGGCTGTCGCTGCTCTCGTTGGTGCGATGACTGCGCGTGAGTGCGGCGGGCAGGAGAAGAGCCATTTCTGGAAGAGAGAAGAGGAAGATAGTTAGAACAGTCAGTAATATCAAGGCCAAGACTGTTGAGATCTATACTAAAGATTAGAAATAGAATTAGATTGAAGTAAATCATTATATTATGAAGGGCATGTATATAACGTTATATAAGAATCCACTTAGTACAGTAAAGCTTTAGAGGTAAATAGAGTCATAGAAAATAAAGAACATGAAAATATGAAGTGAAGCTCAGGATGTGAAATCAAATTGTAGACGCGAATCGCGCGTTCTGTGTCGCGTGTCACGTGTTGCCCAGACGGGCGAGGCTCGAGGCGTGGCTGCAGCCGGAAGAGCTGGTTGTAACAGCAGCGTGTGTTTGCGTGTGTGTGCGTGTGTGTGTGTGTGTGTGTGCGGAAGTGCGTGCCTGTATGGCTGGCGGCTATGCCACACGAATCGCATTTGCTTTGACTGGCTTCGCATGATGTTTGCATTGCTGAGAGCGAAATCAAAACATGCCATTAGACGAGCAACCGACAAAAAGAAAACAGCAAAGGAAAAAGGAAAAGCCAAAGAGGCAAGGCAACGGGAAAGGAGAGAGGGGAACGCCAAGGAGGTGTGGCAGCCACAGCTGACAAGGACAACAGAAGCGTGCTAGCGATTGCAAACAACAAAACAACTTTTGCCGTTTCCCTTCGCCCTTCGCCCTTCTCCCTTCGCCCCTTTGCCAATTTCCAATGCTCAACGTGGGGCCCCCTATTGCCTGTGCCCCCGCCCCCCATTGCGACTCAATATGCGACGTCCTCTTCCCCAATTCCGACTGTCGCATTGACAGACCGCCACGAGCCACATACTGCTGTCACTGACACCCACCTGGAGCAGGGAGAGGGGCGGGGTCGGAGCAGCGGGAGACATTCACCTGCGGAATGGAGAAATGGAGACGGGGGACATTGCTTTACTTGCAGCACGTGCCACAGCCACGCACAGCCACGTGACTCGTGAAAAGGTGTCTGCCAAAGCAGCAGAGAGTCAGGGGAGGGGAAGCGGGAGGGGGTGGAGGGGAGTTGTAGCAGCATCATCAGCCTTGGCCTGGTCTGCATGCATTGACGACACACTACATCTCGCATGGACAGCCGTGAATTGACAGCCTGGCCAGCCCGGCCGGGCTCTGAGTCAGTTGCAGCCTCGAGCCACGCCCCCTGCTTATGGGCGGACTGGGTGCAAGGCGAGAGATAGAGCTTATTAGCAGCAGCAGGGGAGGGAGCACTCTAGATGAGAACACTCTTTCACTTGGCATCAGGTCTTAGAAATCTCTTTGACAGATCTGATACGCAGTCAAGGCGAGCTACGGGCTCTATACCCTGTAAATATTGCAAATGGGTAGCTTGAATGACGAGTGTGAGAAAGGCAGGAGGCGGGTGGGAGAAAGAGAAGTGGGGTGACGAGGCAGAAGAAACGAGAGGGAGAGTTTTACATTATGGGAAAGATAAAGAGATGAGCAGAAGAGAGATCTAGTTAGACAAGAACAGAGAAGAGAAGAGAGAGAGGAAGAGAGAGAGAGAGAGAGAGAGAGAGAACGAATGAGTCACAGCTGCAAAGACAGCTAAATATTATGAAAATCAAGGTCATTAACAGACTTTGACCTCTGCGTTGCTGCAGGGCGCGTGCGAAAGAGATGGCGCGAGTCTAGAGTAGAGCTAGACGTAGGCGTATTTAAAGGACTTGCACGTGCCACGGCAAATGGAATGTCAAGTCGACAAACGGATGATGGTCCAAGCTTAAACTGTGCTTTATCAGTTAATGTGAGAGTGTAAAAGAGAAAGAGAGAGAGGGAGGAAGAGAGAGAGAGAGGGGGAGAGCGGCACATATGTATTGCATAATTTTTGGTCGTCAGCAGGAGCACACACAACTTATGCAAATTTAACAAGTCAAGTGCCGCACACATACACACACACATACACCCACCCACACGCACACACACACACACACTCGCACGCATACATTTGCATAATCAAATGGCATATTGTTGTGCCTCGGTTTGGCTGGTTTTCGGCTACGTTTTTCATCTTGGACGATTACCTACTTGGCCAAGCACAACACACACACACACATGCACAAGCACACACACACACACTCACATACTCACACATACATGCAAGTTAATTGGAATTTAGCACATGGCCCGTAATTCACAGCCCTAAGTGAATGAGTGTATAACGTATGTATGTATACATATATGTGCAGGTGAGTGTGTGTGTGAGTGTGTGTGTGTGTGTGTGCATGCGAATGGATGTCTGTAAGTGTACAGCAATTATTTTTATAACGTTAATGAGCACTGCGCATTATTGTGGCCTGCCAATGGCGGCGACAACGAGAAGCCCTGAAGAAGGCCGACGATGGCAGCGACGACAGTCGGCGACAAAAGTGAGCGCACACACATTAG